ATCAGACCAAAGCTAGACTCCAATGAAAACTACATTTTTGCTTATCTATTTCCTGTTTCCTTCACCCGCTTACATGTTTTTTCTGTGAGCTCTCCCTCAGTGAAACACTTGCCCCAATACCTCTGTCTCCGGTCTTTTTTTTTTTTTTTTTTAAGGAACCCAACCTAAGACACATCTCTTCCCAAAAGTGCAAACAAAAGTTCTAGTCAAAATGCTTAATATTAATAATGACAGCAATAATAATTGTGTACTACAACAAAGCACTCCAGACCACCCCACTCCAACTCGCCAAACCTTCACAAAGGGAGGAAGGTAATAAATGCTCTATATCCCCATATCCCCAGGGGATGGAATATTATTGTCATTACTGGCATATTCTCTCTCTTTCTCCTCTACCTTGTCCCAATTGTTTTTTTTTTCCCTCTATACCACGCCAGAGAACATTTGCAACATAGTACATATACTCTTAGGACACAGTTATTTCAATAGGTATTTAATTATGGGAAATGATAATAAATACTGTCAAAAATGCATCGGAAGATTGAATTCTCTGTGCTGCCAAAAGTCCTGTTCTGTGGCTGCCTCCCTTCTTTGTAATATATTCTTGCATCATCTGGCATCTGCAATTGCAAAAATCACCCTGGGCAGGCTGAATGCTTGCTAATTATCAAAGGGTTTTATCTCAGCAATGTTACTTTGGAGTGAAAGAAGCACATGACCTCTCAGAGACCCCTCTCACTGAAAGAGTTCTGACCCTACATTGATGAGTGAATAAACACATGCAGGGCAGAGGGGTGATTCCACTGAAGCAGAACACAAGTTATTAAGAGGAAGTAAGACAGGTTCTCCAGAAACCCACAATTTAGCTGAGATGAGACTAACCACCAAACAGCAGCCAGGAACAATGAAAGGCAAGTGGAATTAAGTGCCAAAGAGTGTGGTTATAGCAAAGAGAGTGTGGGTTTCAGAGACTAGGGAAGAGATGAGAGCTGAAATAGCCAAAGAAAGCTGCCCACAGAAGCTCTGGAAATAGATCTCTAAGAAAGATTAACTAACAAGCTACTCAGGATACAGATTCAAATGAAAAATGTTTCAACCATCCTAGCCTCATTTTCTCCAGAACCAATAATCATCCTTCCTTATGAATTTCTGAGCAGACAACACAACTAGGTTTCGGCCCCTCAGATGAGACTCGACATCAGGTTGAAGGCTGAATGCAGTATAAAGGAAACGTCTCACGCGTCCTCAGGTCTGAGTTCCAGTCCTGGCACTACCTAACTGGGACAGCAGGACATTAAGGGTCACTGGCAAAAAGGAATCAAGTTCATTCCCTACAGAAACTGCAAATGAGCTTTGAGACTCATGAGACGCAGGAGTTGCGATGAACTCCCACGGGATTTGTTTTTAATCCTCTCAGTTGTGTAGAGAGGATAAAACCACAAGCCCCTCTTGAAGTGTGTTCTCCAGGACGAGGCTGGCTTTTCCCAGAAGCCCGGGGGGGCGGGGGGGGGGGCTGTCCCAGGTGCTGATTCATGATTCGGGAACATTTGTGCTCACTGCATCCTTCCCACAAGACCATCCCCAAAAGCACTTTAAATATCCCGCTGCTTTTCTTGGTAAGAAGGAAACTGAAATCCGCCAGCTACGTTCATCTACGTGAGCAGTCTTAGCTGCCTCCTACAACATGTTAAATAACCTTAGGTTTGATTCCAAACCTAAGATAAATCCAACTGGATTATTTCACCAGGTATTTAAGATGCAATTGTGATCTTGGTAATATCGAGAAGATACTGGCTCTGAAGTAAGATCCACACAAACTAGGGAAGGCGAAACTGGCAGAGAATCTGGCCATTGTCAGCAGAACTTGTCATCCAGTGGGACTGTGTCCAAAATGGAAGTTCAGCTTTTGTAAGAAATATTCAAGTGAGACTGGGTCATTTTTTTTTTTTAACCTATAGATGTGATCTCTTTGGGCTTACATGTCACTACGTAAATTTTAGAAAATATAAACAGTTTCATAGGGGGCAGGGTGGGGTTTTAGACTGCATTGCTTAGACAAGAGACTTCACTGTAAATGACGGTACTTTCTGTAATTATGCTGGAGTTGGGATTGATTTTTTGTATTATAGCTTTTGCTTTAGATTAAGACAGACCTGAGTTAGAATCTGGGCTTTTTCGCTAACTAACAGCTCAGGCAAAATGCTTACTGTTTCTAAGCTTCAATTTCTTCAACTGTAAAATAAAGATAAATAGTCCACTCTCATAATGTTCTTGTCAGGTTGAAATGAAATAAAGCCTTAACAGTGCTTAGCAGGCTACCTGACTCAGGGCGAGAGCTCAGTAAATGTTGACAATAATATTTTTGAGACACCAATCTCAATAAGGTGAGGAGAGATAAACTTGTTAAGCTCCTTCATTCTCCCCAATGGACTCTACCTTTAAAAGCAAGAGAAAGAATAGTTTAAGAGAAGGTTCCTCGTTAAAGTAAGCACAAGGTTTAGGGGCCACCTCTACCCTGAGGAGTTCCTCTTTTTCCCAACTCCCTCCAGAGATCTCATATTTTTTTTTCTACATTACTTAGTATAATCAAAACATTTTATAAGTGAGGATGTCAAGCCATGCATACTTAGGCCTTTTACAAAATGTTTACTGGCCATAGACTTTTGTTTTCTCTCTTGAAAAATGTCTCAGTTCAGGGAATCTGTTGCTGCCCTCTACTCTGGACCCATCCAAGCTGCTGGCACCCAAACTCCTTCTTAAACAAGATCGTACGAAACTGGTTGTCGTCAGCCTGGTCCTGAAATGTTTCCTTCTGGGAACTATTCTGGAAATTGTCTTTCTGAAAAATAAGAACATTCTACCACATTAGGTAAAAATCCATTCTAAGCTACCAAAAAATCATTATTACATTATTATCAAGAAAATAGAGACTCTAATTTGGTTAAGCAATTTCCCCAAGAACATACCAAAGGAGAGATATGGCCCCAAAAAAGTCTATCTAAACCCAAAAAGAAGAAAGGAGTAAAGTCATGAACCATCAAAAAAAAACCTCCAAAATTAAATGTAATCCTCTTCTCCCTCAGAAGTTGAGTATTCACCTAATAATCTTGGTGGTGCTATGATTTTAAAAGCAGAGACTCGAGTCTATAGAATGAGTAATTCTCTTCCTCTAAGAAGACAGCGTATTGTGGCAGAAAGAGCACAGAATTTGGAGTTAGAAAATCTCAGATTCAAGTGTCGATTCTGTTTCTTCCTAGGCACGTGTCCAGGTGGTCAACTTCCTTAACCTCTCTGAGCCTTACTTTGGTCGTCCATGAAACAATCACACCCATAAACAACCTGTGGAGCTGCTGGAAGGATTAGAGTTAATATGTGAGGTAGGCCTGGCACACATGTGGCACAAACCCAGTGTGGCTGCATCTGTAGTCCAATGATCTGCCACCTAATCTCTGGTGATGTGCCTTAAACGGTCTTGTCTCTAAAGCAGAGGAAACCCTTGGACCTTGCCACCAGATAAACAGAAAAGAGACTGTGACAATTTCAGAACTAGACATTGAGAAAGATGTTGAAATCAGCCACGTTTTCTCATGATTTAAAAACGGGAAGGATCTGATGTTCTAAAGAACTGCAGTGATATTTCTTTGATTCCATAAATCATAAAGATGCAGTAAAATATAGGGAAGCTGCGAAAGAAATTCATAGCAAAGATCACAGAATTTGCCATCAAATCATTAGCATTCAGAACTCAGATCTTCTACTTATTAAATCGGGTGACCTAAGACAAATACATCTCTCAGAAATTCAAATTCCTCATTGGTAAAATAATAATATTAAGATAATAACATTTGCTTGAAGATCATCCAGACCATGTTACTGGACTGAGATGAAGGGACCAGCCCAAGGAGGCCATGTTTTATATGATATGTCAGTGTCTCCCCCGATCTAGTGACCCCTGATTAGAGCTGGAGGAAACCCCCAACCCAGGATAAAGTTGTAAAGATTAAAGTGAAGAGGCTTTTAGTTATCTTTTTATTAATATTATGATATATAACTGGCAATAATATCGTGTAAATTTAAGGTATATAGCAGGTTGGTTTGATGTATTTATATATTAAAATACGATTACCTCCATAACATAAGCTAACACCTCTATCATGTGCCATGATTACACTTGATCTTAGCGAAAAGGCCGAGAAGCTATATTGTGTCCCATAATTATCGTGGCTTCTTTATGGTGAGAGCGATTAAGAACTACTCTCCTAGCAACTTTGAAGTTTATAACATAGTATTGTTGATTATAATCACTGTATAATCTCCAGAACTTAAACCTACCGGTTATAATTTTGTTCTCTTATCACATATTTTAATACAATGTGACTAAGCAATTTTTGACCTCATAATGAATAACTATATAACTAGAGAAATATAACAACAGGTAATATGAAGGAATAGTCAACATAAAGAGCAGATTCTTCATCTTCCAACTTCTGAAAGGTTTTCGTGGCAAGGGATTAAATTGTGAGTGTCTGGAAGAGGTAAAATTAAGCCAAATGTGTAGAAGATAAAGGGAGAAAGAATCCAGGTTCAAAAAGAGAATTAACAGGTAGAGCTGTCCACAGATGGAGGCTCACACAGCAACCGGATAACCATGTGGAGAGTACACAGTAGAGGAGACTCTAGCATCCAGTGGGGATTAGAACAGATACTGGATAGATTCTTTCCGAATATGAGAGTCTATGTGTCTCTTATCTTCACAGACATCTCCAAATACAAATCAGAATTCATCTGAATCAGAAACACCAGCTCATGACTCAGCTCCAAACAATACAAGAGAAGAACATCGATGCCCAAGGAAAATCAACCACGTACAGGATTTCTCAAAAACAAGCTTTATAAATTGGCCCAGAAATATACACCTAACTCTGTCAGAGAGAGAAAGCTGTCCTTCAGTTCTAGGATTTATTTTTATTTCATTCTCATCAAAAGTCCATTTTGAATCCATGGTCAAGAATAATCTCACCACAGTGACTGAGTTCATTCTCATGGGCTTTACTGACTACCCCCGACTGGAGATTCTCCTCTTTCTGGTGTTTCTGAGTTTCTATCTAGTCACCCTTCTGGGGAATGTAGGGATGATCATTCTGATCCAACTGGATGTCCAACTCCACACCCCCATGTACTTCCTCCTGAGCCACCTTTCCCTTCTAGATGCCTGCTACACCTCAGTCATCACCCCTCAGATCCTGGCCACACTGATCACAGGCAAGACGGTCATCTCCTATGGCCAATGTGCAGCCCAGTTCTTTTTCTTCACTATTTGTGCAGGTACAGAGTGTTTCTTGCTGGCAGTGATGGCCTATGACCGCTATGTTGCTATTAGCAACCCACTGCTCTACACTATGGCCATGAATCCCAGAATCTGCTGGAGTTTAGTGGTGGGAGCCTATGTCTGTGGGACGTCAGGGGCCATCCTACGTACCACATGCACCTTCACCCTCTCCTTTTGTGACAACAATCAAATCAACTTCTTCTTCTGTGACCTCCCGCCCCTGCTAAAGCTTTCCTGCAGTGACACAGCAAGCACTGAGATTGTCATTGTCTTCTTCGGCAACTTTGTGATTTTGGTCAATGCCTTGGTCATCTTGACTTCCTACCTGCTCATCATCAAGGCCATTTTGAGGGTGAAGTCTTCGAGTGGCAGGGCCAAGACTTTCTTCACATGTGCTTCTCACCTCACTGCTGTGGCCCTTTTCTTTGGAACCCTCATCTTCATGTATCTGCGGAGTGGCTCAGGCAAATCCCTAGAGGAAGACAAGGTTGTGTCTGTCTTCTACACTGTGGTCATCCCCATGCTGAACCCTCTGATCTACAGCCTGAGAAACAACGATGTAAAAGTAGCCTTCAAAAAGGTCATTTGTAGATTCTAGGTGTCCCAGAGAATGTAGATCTAAGTGAGAGGACTCTCTTTTTTTGGTCCATTTTCTTCCCATGTCAATATATCCCAATAGGCATATACCAACACTCTATGCAACTTGTACCATGAACAGAGAGAAGGTAGAAAGGTGCCACCAAGCACACAAGAAAAACTGCAAAGGTAGTAACACTGCTTTCCAGCAACCCTATGGTACTTTCTTCTCCCCATCTCCCACCCACCTCCTGCCCATGCCTAGCACTCAGAGGTCTCGTGCTACACTCTGACATCATAACTTACAGAATCTCAGGGGCCCGAGGTGTCTTCGGTTTATCTCATTCCACTCCACCACTCTTTGTATCCATGTTGTGTTTCCTATTTTTTCTCTCTTATTTTTGCTCCCATCAATGCTGCATTTTATTCTGTGTCTAAGTTTACATCTGGGGATCCCTGTAAATAATACTAAGTAGTCTTTCTTCTTTTAATAGGTGAGTGACTGGTCAGCTCAGTAAAGGG